AAGACTTTAAAAAGGGGAACTACTTCCCGTTTGGAACACATTTTGGTATTCCCCCTTGAGAAGGGAAAAGGGAAGATTCGCAAAGAGGGGGAGCCGAATGCTTTTCCAAATGTAGACCATCATAAATTGTTCTACGAATATATGACCGGCAACTATGATGAGGATACTGATAAAGAAAAATTCGATGCCCAAAATGATATCAGCTTCGTGAAGAGCTTAAATATATTTGGCGACAAATTAGAGGAAATAACGAGTGTAGACGATGCAGAAAGTTTTTTTTTTCACAAGAATTGGCCTATCAATAAAGGATCAGCAGGATCAGCATATCCAGAGGGGGAAGAAAATGTGGACTCCTCCCCACACTTAATAAATGAAGACCTGCGCAATTTTCCCACATCGAGCATTGCTCCCTCCAATTATTCCCATGTGGGCGTAAATGCTCCGCACGGTGAGATAATAGCGACAAACAAGTTTAATTTCCTCAGTGACGAACCAGTGCATGCCGAGTTGAATAACCATAGAAGCTTCGAATACTTGACGTTTGCTAAGGCGTTTGTCCATTTATTAAAAAATTTAATAAAACACCTACATGATGATGGGGTGGTCAGATTATTTATTCACTGCTCCAGCATGTTCGATAGCGAATGGGATGATAAGGAAGTGCTGTCATTCTACACGGAAATGTACAAACGGATTCATAAGATGAAAAATATTTCAAACAAAAACATAGCGTACATTTTAAGCTCATGCAGTAACTATTGTTTAAGGGAGGAAAATACGCTTCTCTTAAAAAAAATAAAAAGAGACATTCTGTTGAATAGCACGTATGCAAAGGCCGGCACAAGACGTTACTTAAATATATATAACGTCACTCCATCCCATTTGGAGAATATTATTTACACATTTTCAAAACATAGGTTTAGAGAAAAAAATTTGTTCGCACTGTTCAGCGAAATTGTAAAGGAAAAGTTTCACGGGTTCTCTTGCATAACTACGATAAATATTTTAAAGAGCTACACCATCTTGAATTACGAATCATTAGTGTTTGATTTTCTGTATGTAAAAATAAAGAGCTTTGATTTCTTATCCTTTACGATGTGTAGGGGGAAAAATGTGATAAAGCTGATGAATACACTGCTGCTGATTGAGCATCGCAACTGCAGTTCGGTTGCTGGCGCAGAGAAAGTGACGTTCACCACAGGGAAAGACGGCAGTGCCAAGCGCAGTGCTTTATTAACCGATGAGGGAGTTTACACAGCGCTCTTGTCGGCCCTTCTGTACGAGCTGAAAACGTTTAAGGGGGAGGGCACCGACGGTAGCGATGTAAGGGGAGGAAGCGGTGGAGGTGGTCGGAACGACCAGAGAGACCGAAGCAGTAATGTTACCCACCGCACGTGCGCCCCCACAGGCGAGCACGCCATTCTCAGCATTTACAAAAAATTACTGAGGCTGCAAATAATTGGCATACAAAACAAATCTGACCTGGCGTTTCTAAAAAGTATACTGAAGAGGACGTACGGCAAGCTGCACGTCGACCAGTTGGACGATTATTTTGTGTTTTCATTCATTAACATGAATTTGAACAAAATTAATTTTCATAAGTTAGTTTTTACATTACTAACGTATAATAATTTAATTGAGGGGAACAGACTCTTAAACAATTATACACAAACAAAAAAAAAGTTTATCTAATGAATGGCAGGGCTGTTTTTTCTCCTCGCCCGTTTATGTTACATATATGTACATACATATGCACGCATACCTATGAGCACATGAAGGCGCATTCGAAATGAACATACAAAACGCCCATGTTCGTAATGACAAACAGTTAACTTGAAAAAAAAAAAAAAAAATATATATATATACATTTTTATCCGTTGTGCAAACTACTTCCCCCGTAGGTGGGTAAAGAAGGAGCGCGAAAAAAAGTAAAAGTGATGCAATCGTCCCGTGGGCTAACCTTCTATTTCGAAGTATTTATTTAGGTACTTGGTGTAATCCTCTTCCTCGTCGCTGGAGTAAAATTTATAGTCACTGAAATTTTCCTCACCACAGTTACCGTCGACGTTGTTATCGTTCGTCCTGGAGTGGTTGTTACTGTCCAAGTGTGTACCCTTTTCCCCATCTGCATTGCCACCGTCTACATACTCTCCTGCCATTTCTGTATAATCAGCACTAATCGAGGAGTCTCCGCGAAGACCTTTATTGTCCTGGTGCTGCGTATTTTCACTACTGCTTGGTACTGAACCTTTCGCATTCAGAATCCTATCTTTATACTGATCCAATAATTTTAAAAAGCCGTCTGCCTTACTGAATTTATAATCTAATTTAATCAGATCAATAATGCCATTGATGAACCAGGGATATGTTTCCTTTTTGGTCAAATCGTCTATATTTTGCTGTTCGACGTTATCAAATTTATGGTACTTATGAATTAAGAGCTCCATTAAATAATTTTTATTATTATACAGAAACCTGATTTTGTCATCTTTGCTTAAGATGTTATCCACCTCTATGTTGTACTGATCGGTGTTATTAATTGAGCTGTGAATTTTGATATGCTTGAATTTGCACTGTGGGTTGTAACACGAATTGTAAATGACATTATTGCGACAGAAGAAGAGTTTATAATCATGGGAGAAAATACAATTTTCTTTTTCACATGTTCCTTTCACTAAAAATTTGCACAGCTTTGAAATTTTATATATCGGTGTGACGTCATGTGAGTAGTTACAATTTTCATTGTGGATGCATTTTCCCTTCCGAAAAAAAAATTTACATATTTCTCTCTTCTGCTGAATTTTATAACCATCAGACAGGTTTGCTATTTGTTTTGCCTTTTTGTTATTCGCTCCGCTCTTTTGCTTCTTCTCTTGCGTTGGCGCGCTTTTTCTCTTTTTCTTTTTCCTCTTTTTATCCTTCTTCACAGAGGACGCATTTTTGATTACCTCTCCTGGGGGAAACAAACAAAAAAAAGGGTCAGAGGTCAACAAGGGAAAGGGTAGCACAAACGGGGGGGAGGGGGTAATGTAATATAAACCTCCTACCGCCCAAATTGCAGAATAGCAACATGTCATTATCGTTTTAGGCGTCATTCACCTCAGCGGCCCGATCGAACGGTCATATTTCCCCTCATGGTAGGAAATATACACTGTCGTCTCAGCGCTCATACGTATGCGGGCAAAAGAAACGGACATAAGTACGAAGAATATATGTGTTGCGTAGAACCCTCTCTACGTAACAGTATACTAACGCATTGGCGACATGGCAAGATGTTGCATCTTGTAAAGCCAGATTACCTGTTATGTTGGCTATTTTTTCCAAAACAGCTTGGTCCTCTATTCTTTCCATTTTTACGTATCTTTTGTTCTTTTTCTGCAAAGGATGGTATTTTTGTATTCGTCGCAAATCATGGGTTTAATTTTTCTCTTTATGATGTATGTAATTCTGTTTTGAAAAAAGTACTTTGCATTTAATTATTCCAGCGGCTATAAACCGTTTGTCATTCTCCGGAGCATAAGGAAACAGGGAAAAATTGCTATCTATTTTTTTAACTTGTTACTATTTTTTTTTTTAATTTGGGAAAAAATCGCCATTTTGCTCCCTGCCTTTTCCGATATGCGCATGCGTGCCCCTTTTTCCGGGGAAATCTAAGTGGCAACTCGAAAACTGCGCTAGCTGCCTCGTTGGCAAACCATTTGAAGCAGGCAAAATAAATTTGTCATGCAACTTCGGCTAATCGCCATGTTGCTTCATTTTTTGGTATTCCTTTCAATGATGTAGCCACGCAACGGTCGCAATCACCGCAATTGCTGTAATCACTGCGCTGATGAACTTCTCCCGGGAGGAGGCAAAAAGAAACAAAAATTGGCAATACACTTTGATGTTACCACGTTGGGAATACACCACTGAAATTGTTTCGCCGCACTCACATCAGGAAATTAACTTGCGTTTTCGCAGAAATGTAATGGAAATTTTCGTGCACTCCAATTTCCAATTCTCCACGTGAAATTAATCAGTCAAAGGGTCCTTGCATAGCACGGCACAAAGAGAAAGTAAAAACTTCCAAATGTATCTTCCTTTTAGTTCATTTTTGGGATAATGTATTTGTACAAAATTGAGGATGGAACTTAACATCATAATGCTATTTTTTTCGCGCGCGCAAGAGTCGTGTGGGCTACTGCTAAACGATTCGCAAAATCTATTTTTAAAAGATGGCATGTCTCATTTTGAGTGCCCCGCGTTGAGCGGGCTGCTGTGGGATAAGAAGGGACCCGTTGAAAAGTTGACTCCTTGGCGTTTCATCGCGTTACCGCATCTCCGCATCATCACCTGATCAATTCACCGTTTCACCGCATCACACCCCTGTGAGCACATAAGACAAATCAACATGTAAAAAATAGCAAAATTGCAGCCGAATGAAGGCTCATGGGAAACTATTGGGGCGTACGGAACTAAAAGGAGAATGTTTCACCCCTCATTTCAGTCAGCCCCGTCTGCGTCACGCAATGATATTACACAATCCACTAAGGATTTTTTTTAATCGATTTATCACCTTTTTCCTCAAAATTGTAAAAAAAAAGAAAAAGGGAAACGATAGTCGAAATATTAGTAACTTCTTGACCATCTTTTCCTCTCAAACGTTATAGTCCAGAGTGCAGTGAAGAGAGAGAGGGTTATTTATAGTAGGGCCCCCCAAAATGAAAAATAAAAACGATAGTTTTAAGAAGCCCATTGTGGGGAAGGAAAAGAGTAATGTGAAAAACGCAGCTAGCGAAAATGAAAAGATGAAAAAAAAAAAAAAAAAAAAAATTACCAAAGGATAAAATTGAAAATGAAGATAAAGTCGAAATAACTGAAAAGAAGGAATTGGTAGACAACATAAAGATAAACACCTATAACGAAAGTGATGATAAGTTGGTTCGTAAAATTTTCTCCTACATCGAGCAAGAAAAGGAAGAAATGGTCCACAATTTGTTAAACAAATACTATGACGCAGATAAAAAAACACCCTTCTTTTATATTGATATGAATATACACCAGTGTATATATGGGGTGTTTTTTCCCTTGTCCACAAAGGATAAATCATTGTCACACAAAAGAACAAACATGTATTATGAGAGCAGCTGCATGTACTTTTACAACGTGATGAATAACAAATGCTTGAATACAATTTTCCGTTTTTTGAAAGAATTTTTCAAAGAACATGCGTTACATCATTTTGAGAACTGTTGTGAAATGATGTGGTCGACTTATTTATTTTTTTTCATCTTGCTAACCGACTATTTTTTGGTAAGTCCAAATGTCCGGCAGTATTGCGCTGAGAATTTTAAAATTTTATTCAAGTTAAAAACATACCTCTTTGAAAAATACACCAAGCATACAAATAAGATCATACTGAACAAATTTATTTTGCTAAATAGGGAAGAAAATGGAAATAGGAAAAATGCCTTTTTCTTTTCTGAAACGAAGATAATAAATGGAATAATAAATGAAAACAAAATAGAGTTTTCCAACATGACGATGAGCATAATTTCTTCTAATCATATAGACAAGCGATATTTCCTCACTTTGGTAATAAAAGCCAAGTCGTACGAATATATGGATGATTTTATTTTTCTCGATTTATTTAAAATTCACATTTTATCCAATCCGTGTCTGTCTCGATCGTCAGGAAGTGGCAGACTGGATTCTTCCCCGAACCATTGCTGTGACGATCGTAGCAACTCATTTCCCTATGTTGCCCTTTCCGATATAGCAAATTCCTTTCCCCTGGATGAACACCAAAATGCATTTTCATATATATACGAAATTGAACTTCCCAGTGATATTTACACTGATGGGGAGTTGGAAATATTCTACATCGACACTAATAAAAAGGTGAACTGTACAAATTTTTTCCCTGTTGATGATTTGCATCAAATGGGGGAAGGACCACACCTTCATGGGGCGCATGATGAAATGCCAAACGGAAAGGGGGCAGAAGTGGAAAAAAGGCAAAACGCGACGGAGGAGCCAACCATTGACAATTTGGGTTCCCAACATATGCACAATAAGGAGAATCTCTCCCCAAAAGATGCTCCCCCAAAGTCGTGCGAAGAGAAAAATAAAAACGGAGAGGTAACATCGGCCAAAAGAAACATTCGCATAAGTGTTCAAAATGAGGAACATGTTAAGACCTGCGATATGAGTACGGGGAAAAAAGAAAATACCTTGCACGAATCCTCAAAAAAAAAGCCATATGATGAAATAAATGTTGTTAAAGTACAGAGTGAGAAATTTGCACTAAATGATAAAACATACGTAAGAATTTATAGCAACCGAATCAGCAATTATTATATCAATCTCAATAGCATAACTAATTTCCCATATCTCCAGTGGGAAATTAAATATTGTGAAAATAAAGTAGTTGCAATGCTAAGGAGCCGAAATGGTAAGAGCTTTATTTTCCACATTGATGACTATGGCATGGAATTACAAGACAACGGAATAGACGTGCTCAAGGACCTATACAACTGCACCATAGATGTATACACCTTGTTATTTTTAATGAAAAAAAAGGGAATTAACCTCTTAGTTACAAATGTCGAATTAGGGAAGATGCTTGAAGAGGAGAGGTATCATCTGCCGGAGGACCAAACGGAGGAACTTTTAATAAACGATATTTTGTTGTGTTTTCGATTTATGGCCTTTCATTCCGTGGAAGTCAACCTGGCCAACGCGACAAAGTCGAAGATCATGGTTCATGTGAGGGGAGACAAACAGAAGGTGAAGGGGCCACTGGCCGATTCGCTACATGTGGAATATGAGGAAAATTGTTGCAGGTAGGTACAAGTACCCTTCGGGGGTAGAGAGAAACGATGGCCATTCTGGGCTGAAAAAAGAGGATCCGCCATACGTAGTAAAATGATAGCACTGTAAAACGACAATTTTGTAAAACAAAGACGCTGTAAAACGATAACGCCGTAAAACAACGACACAGTAAAACAACGACGTTGTAAAACGATAACGCGGTAAAACTCGCCACATTAAACGCTCATAAATGGTGCCATGCCATGTCAAAATTTAGCCTCCATCAAAGCGCAGTTAATTCATTCCGCTTGGTTCTCCCTCACCCCCAAGGCTCTGCCTCAGCGCGCCTTGTGATATATCTCTTATTCATCATGCCCATTACTAATTTGTTCATCTTTATATTTTTTTTTTTCGCTTCTTTGGTTTCTCTCTCTCAGAATTGCCAAAATCGAAATGGAAGAAAGCGAACAAAAATTCATCAAAATTTTGACGAAACATAAATCCATCCTGTACTGCCTATTCGAACTGTGCGAATTTATCAATTTAAATAATAAGAAGGAAAAGACAAAGTTGAGTGATACGACCAAACAGGAGAATGATGACGATGAAAAAAATGATGTAGTGAATTTCCAAAATTTTTTAACCAACATTTTTTCACGTAACAGCATTGAAAAAATGAATGAAGTGGTAATAAATGATGGGGATAACTTAAAAAAAAACTCCTTACAAATGGACGATGCCGAAACGTTAGCTACAAATGATTACAGCACCTTGTTTGAATTGAGCCCAACGGTGCATAATTTGCAGCTCTTTTTGAAGCTCACCCGGGCTGTATCATTTACGGGCGTCTGACGAAGCGTGCAGAAAAAGGGGGCCTCGCACATGAATATATTGCACATGTCTATGTTGCGCATGCCCATATTGCGCATGCCTATATTGCGCATGCCTATATTGCGCATGCCTATATTGCGCATGCCTATATTGCGCATGCCTATGTTGCGCATGCCTATGTTGCGCATGCCTATGTTGCGCATGCCTATATTGCGCATGCCTATATTGCGCATGCCTATATTGCGCATGCCTATATTGCGCACGTTCCCATATGTGGGGGAATCCGTTACAGGGAAATCTCGGCAGCCTTCAGGGCATCCTTCTGCAGGGAAAGGGTTGTAGAAAAATGCGGCCGTTACAACGTATTTTACCAAACGTGTGAAGGACGACTATAATTTATTTCCCCAAGTACGCACACCATATGTATGATGCATATATAAATGTCTCATGAATATGTGCACTTTGACGAGCTTTACATAAGTGTAGGGCGTCTCTTTGTTAAGAATTTTCACTCTCCTCTTGTGTTTCTTCGTTTTTTCGTGTTGTTTCTTGGCGTCGTCATTTATAAAATAAATGTCGCAAGCATAGCACTTATGTTGTCCTAAAAAATGTTGTCAACAGTTTTGAGTCATTTTAATGTTATAGAAATTGGGAAAAAATAAAATAAAAATAATTTGGGAATTGCCCTTCCTTCTTTCATTTCATTACCTCCTCCCTTTTTGTCTTCATCGTACGGAAGGTCCGGTTGGTTGAGATAATCCTTATATACTGCAGGGAACGTGAAATGAAATTCATCATAAAAAGCATTTGTGCGGGGGGATGGGGGGGTCATCAATAAGTGTGCGTTTATGCCGATATGGTATATATAATCATGTGTATAAGGAAGCGCGTAAGTCGTGCACATCAAGCACATCACGTTGATCTCTGCGAACAGTCATTTTTATATGGCCACTCTTGGCGAAACGCAACTGTTAACATGAAGGCCGTTGTCTTTTGCTATACCTTCATCATAATCTCTTTTCCTTTTCCTGGTCTTCAGAATTTTACTTTTTATCGTATTGCGGGGGTGTTTTTTTTTTCTCGTCGACAGGGCCACTGAAAAAGGCAAAAAAAAAGAAAAATTTGCAATTGCATTAAAGCAACTGTCTAAGTACGCTAATTCAACATCACTATGCACATACATGTGGAGCAAGTATGTATGTAAAAAAGGTTTCCCTTTTTCTTCAGATATGCTTAATTCTCACTTTTTTTTTATTTGCTATTATGCGTCTTTTTCTCGTTATTCCAATTAAACATATGTTGGCAAAGTTAGAAATGTAATATAGGATAAGTTCAAAAGTGTGGCAGATTCTGTGGATGCATAGGCGGTTGTAAAAATGCGAAGACAGCAGGGGTACACCAGGTTCGCCAATTGGTATGCGCTTAGTTTTCTACAATTTGTTTCTTCTCAATAAAGTTGATTTGATTGCCCGAAAAATGGGAGTAAATCGAATCACACTTTTTTTTTTTTTTTGCAAAAAAAGGGGCTTCATTTGAAATGTTGGCTTGGGCAAATTTTCGGACTTAAGAATGATGGGAAACCGAATTAATCTTCTCACTTCTTTTCACTCTTGCGACTAGTATGATGTACGTTTCTTCATCTGGTTCGATTATATTATCTTTGGTAAGGACGGGCAGCATAAAAAAATGTATTAATTTTGTTTATACTTGAACAAGCTGACCTAACCACGAGATAGTGGCCTTCACCTTCACGTTCTATTTATATTTTTTTTTTCTACCATATGGATGAACATTTAATTTACAAATTGGCACGGGTCTGCTTTGGTTTTGGTTGATATAACGCTTTTCTCAACGTTCCTTTTTTCCCCACCTCACTTGCAAATGCATATTCTTGTGTTGCGCAGTTTTCTCAATTCAGCGCATTCGTTTTTTTACCGGTATGAAAAATGAAAATTTTTACCTTCGGAAATATTTCGGCGACCTTTACACCGCAACGCGAAAGTAATAAAACAGAAAAACGGCAAAACCGTAAAGTGATAAGATAAATTAGTTCAACCGTTTTTTTACGCCTTTCTTGGTTGACACCTGAAGGATGATTTTTCCTATTTTTTCCCATTTTTTCCTAGTCCTCCTTTGCGTAGACACAAAAATGGAACTTTTAAAACAGTAGATATAAAAATTAAAGTTACCTATTCGCATGTTGATAACGCGCCATGCGGTAAACTATGCCGAATGTTTTCAACATTTTATGACATTCTGTGCTTAATTTTCTCTACTTAAAAATTTTTTTTTTTCCTTTTTTTTTTTTTTGTATTCTCTGTGATGTAAAAATGCATAGTGTAAGATGCAGGAATGGGGACGTACATCCACAGGTCCAAGTACGTATAAATGTTTGATTTGCATAAATACGGGGGGTGGGGGGCTACGTATGCATGGCGTACTCATATGCTTACATAAATCCGTAGGCATAATATTCATTCCTTTCTGCGCATGCTGCTGCCATCGCAGTTGGTTTGCAGAAAACCATTTCGCAATTCATTTTTCCCCCCTTTTTTTGGTAAATGCGAATTGTCACGCGCTCGCGTCAGTCGCCCTGCTGATTTGCTTGGTGTGAAGGAATGGAAATGCGAGTTGCAGTTTTCTTCCCCATGAGAGAACACCCCCTCCGTGCAACATGAAAGCCTATAAACCAACAATAGGAACATGCATTAGTATGGAGGGTAGTAATCTCTGTGTGATACTTAGTCTCTCTTTTTTTTTGTTTTTTTCTCCCACGTTGATTTCTCATGCGCGAATTCAACAAAGACAGGACCAACTCCAAAACGGTAACAAAGTCGAAAGGAAGAAAAACCCAAAAGTAACATCCCCTTGAAGTGTACAAAATGGAAATTAAGAAAAGCAAAAGAAGTAGAGTATCCACTGAGGGGAAAGAATTAAACAGAAGGATACACCTGAATAATAACCACAAAAACGAGAGTGTAAAAAGGATTATGCATTGCAACGATTCGGAGGATAAAAAACACACAGATAGTAATTCCAACATTTTAAGTAACACGTATGATAACATCTATGACGACCTCTCATCCAACTATGAGGACAGTGCATGCAAATCTAATGACGACTTGACGGAATTTTATCTGTACAAAGAAATTAACAACCATAAGTATAACAACAATTTGTACGACTTCTACTTGAGTAAGTTTAATAGTAACTTCGAGGAAAAGGACAAGCTGAAAGACTCCAACGTGAGTCTTATTAATAAAATTTCTCGCATAAAGAAGAATCACAAATATGGAGGTAAAAATGATGAAAAAAAGACAAGAAGGGTGAGAGACCCAAATGTCAATGAAAGGATGGCAGGTGAGAAACACCCAGGGAGGGACGAGCACCGGGAGGAGCGTTCCACCTATCGTAACGTCAAGAATCATCATACAGACCCGTATGATAAAGAAAATGAGGACAAACTAGCCCAGTTGAGAAAGAAATATAAGCACATCATGCTTGATTCGTCGCAAGAACCACTCAATGGTGACCCAACAAAGGGGCGTTCCATAAAACAGACAGACCAAATGAAGAAAGAAAAAAATCAAGACCAAAATGAGGACCAAAATGAGGACCAAAATGAAGACCAAAATGAAGGCAAAAAAGAAGGCGAAAATGAAGGCCAAAATAGAGGCGGCCATAATAAAGGGCAAAATGGCGAGAAAGAAAATCTGTACAACATCTACTTCAACACGCTGATAAACAAATGTGATTACACCATTTCATGTTACATGTACAAGAAAACAAATGCCACACATATTTATAGAAAAAAAATCCTAGTTTTAAAGAAGCATTTTTTAATTATAAATAAATTTAAACAAAATATTAGTAACATCTACACGGTTATGCACCGAGATGTGTATGATATATCTCATTCTAGATATGGACATATATACAAAAGTTCGAACAACATTTACAAATTTAGTGTGTATGCGAAACGATTGAGCAAAACGGATGGCTCTTCCACCTCAGATAATAGTAATTTTTTTTCTTTAAAAAAAAAAAAAAAAAAGAAGAAAAATAATTACAAAATATCAAATGATGGATACCACTTCAACAATGAGCAGATTCGTTTGGCTAACCACAATGTGAATGTTATTATCGAGTTGATAAATTTAATGAAAATGATTTCTATCTATGGTTCCATAAAAAAGTACATGAAAATACTCTTCTTCAAGTACACCAAAAATGTCTTTTTAAAGAATTACGAGTTATATTATTCTTCCCCCAAATATTTCAACGTGCTGAAGAAATTCTACAAGTCGATTCATGCCAGTGCTTATAATTACATATATGTAAATATTTTAAAAATTAGGAACTTAGAACAAATTAAGTATAATTACATATATGCCATAATTGACGTGGATAATTTTTTGTACCACTACAAGTATGAGTACAATAGGGACATGTTCATACCGCTTTTCACGGATAGGCAGAATAAAGTAATATTCTACTTTTACACAGACTTGGATTTGTATCTAGGACATTTTACTCTACACAATTATGAAATTGAGAAGCACATTGATTTTGATTTATACAAAAAGGCGGAACTGAGTAGTTTACAAATCCAGACCGATTTCTTTTTAACGAAAAATACCAAATACAGAAACACGTCAATGTATAGCTCCACGTCGTCTAACAGGACGGAAAAATTATTCAGCTCTTTTTCCAATCAAACGAATGACCAGGTGTCAAATGGGCTTTCTCTCCTTAACCAGAAAAATATTTTCTTCGATAAGAATTACTTTTTTGTGAGAAAATTACATAATGACCAAAAAAAAAATACACAAAAAAATATCAGATATGAATCCGACTCGAATGATGATAACTTGTATGTCCATATATTTATATATAAAAGTAAAAACCGATTTGAGTACTTGCTACCGTCTCAAAACACCACCAATGTGCTTTGCAATGATGAGAATCTCTCCATGACATATAACAACGTTAACAATAATTACCAGTTGGTTAATATATTTCTAAATAATATCAAACGCACAATGCAGATAAAAAACAGATTCAACTATATCTTCGATAAAGTGAACGGCATATTCGAATTTAGAAGCTTCATCATTTCGATCATTTCAATTCTTTACCTTTTTTTCTGTTCCTACTTTAAGAACTACATACATATTGTGCTCCTTCTAACCGTGGCATTTCTGATATACATAAATAACGAGAAGAATTACGATTTTTGCAAAAACATCTTGTACGATTTTCCAATTCTGTACCTCTTTTTTCCCCATAAAATTTTGTGTAAAATATCGAAGAAGTCCAATCTGTACCACCTACACACGTTTCTGCACATTTTCATTCTGCACAGATTTCCCTCCTTCTTTCAATACTTGTATAAACATTACAAATCCAAGTGCTTGTACTTCTTTGCCTACACCCCTGCTTACCTAGGGAAGTACTGCAATGATCAATTCTTAGACAAAAGGAGTACTGAGCACAACAGAAGTAAACTCTCCTTGGGTAGGTTCTCCAAGGTGAAAGCGAGTAGGAGGAAGAGCCTCGAAGATGGGCACGATAGAGGCTCTACGAGGAGAGGTGTTCGGGGCAAGGAGAGACAAGCGAAGGAAGATTCACTTCTGAGCCCAACCTATGGCAACAACGCAGGGGATGGGAAAATGGTAATCTGCCAGGAGGGCAACAATGCCGTCGTAGTTCGTGCCACTGTGGGTAACAGTGCTATTTCTGGGAACGAGGAGCGAGGAGATGTTCCCAAATCAAGCAGTGACATCTTTCGCGAGAGAGGAGGTTCCAATTGCGAAGAAAAAATCAACTTCAATTTTGAAGCCAGTATTATGGATGGCAGAAACGGTCAAGGTCAGAATATTCACCGCAAGGGGAATGTACTCTTTCCAGGGGAAGCGGCGAGAAATAGAAAGGAGGGGGAACACGACGAAGTCGGCGAGGTGCACGACTCCCACCAACAGGGC